TTACTCAGACAGGAGAAGGCAGCATCGCATATAATAGCATATCAACATGGATTTGTTGACTGTTCTGTTAACAAAGGACTGAACTGCTTTTGCTATTATTAGAGCCCATACCTGTGTGGATGTGAGGCTACATTTGCAGTTCAATTGCAAAGACAAAAGTTTGTTGAACAAGGTTTACACTCCTTAAATCATATTATTTTCTAAAGCAGTCTGTATATTAATAGCACCCTGAATTGCATGCTAGCATGGCTACCGGCATCCGAAATGTAGGCAAAAATCCGGGGGCAATCCATTACTGATGCATGGGGGTGAACTGGCACTTTTCTAATAAACATGCACACCTGCAATGCAGATGTGTTTAATTTATTACTCACAGCTGAGCCAAATTGTTTGACAGTTTGTTTAATTTATTACTACACAGTTTTGATGATGACGTAGCCGGTTTAGCGATAGAACAGGCTTTCAACCTTTTGCAGAAACGAAAGCCAGTACAGTAGAGCAGCAGATGAGCACTGTTGCTGTTGCGGCACTAGTTAGGATTCAGTAACAGCAGAGTCCTAGTACAACCATACATGCAGCAGTGCCACATGTACTCCCCCCTCCCACACGCGCGTGCGTGGGTGTGCTCAACAGTTTCTAAATGGGCCACACTAAAAACATCCTGTTTGCCGCTATGTATATCCAAGGGATACATAGTAACGGCTTAATTCTGGTTAGTTTTTTTTTTATACGTCTCCGCGCTCATCTCTGTCTCCGTGCGTATCTCCGTGCGTCATTAGCGTTTTCGCACAGCTAATGAGGGGTTTTGTGGTGATAATATCGTTCACTCTTCCTACTCTTCAGTTGACACCTGCCCCTTAAAATAGAGGCCAATGGTGCAATGCGTTGTTATACCGAGATTTGCGAAGAGATAAAGCTTGTAGAAGGTTGCTTTTTATTTTTTTAGTAGGTATTTACATTCGGCGTAGCCTGACCTGGCTGTGAGACTTGGCTAGACTAGTGTTATTACACATTCTTCAATGTATGACCCTTTCATGGACCTAACGCTGGCATGGTAAATCATGATTAGACGGCTGGAGTCTGGGCCAACGAGTCTGACAAACTTGGCTATGTACGACCGGGATTCGAGTTCGGTGTTCGATCTCAGTAACACAAGCCATTAGGTGCAGTCGTTGGTAGTTATCTAGCTCAGATTTGCATCCGCTAATTCCCCAGTGTGAACGCGCCTATATTAGTGTATAAAAAGACAAATCGCTCCCTGTCTCCAACTCCTGTGTTCACGTATATATGTTTACAATACACGTATATATGTACACGTACACGTACACGTACACGTACACGTACACGTACACGTACACGTATATACACGTACATATACACGTATGTACACGTACACGTATATGTACACTTCTAGGTTACTCGATGTTCACACGTACATATACTTCACTACTGTACAATACTGTATACGTACGTACATATGTTCGACTTATGAACAAATCCTCTTCTATCTCTCCCCTATCTCTATTCCCTCCCTCATTTATCTTCCCTGCGTGCCTCTCCTTTCTCTCCCTTCCTATTTCTTATCTCTCCCTCTCCATTCTCTCCCTCCCTCTAATTTCTCTTTGCTGCGACCCTCTACTATCGCTCCCTCAACATATCTTTTCACAATTGCTTCCCTTCTCCCTCCCCCTCTCTCTGGTTCTCCTTCCCTTCTTTCAATCTTGACACCTGCCGGGTCTCTTCCTTGTGCTGCGAGTGACATTGCATGGCGTTAAAGTCGTTGTCGTAATATTTCAGCTTGCAGTAAGTCAGTGCAGCGAACTGCACGTTGTTCAAATGGAACGATGCTGAAGAACGGAACGTGTGTGACGGGAGGATGAGTGGCACGAACTGCTACAGGAACCTGTCCATGTCCGCCATCAAACCCAAGATGCCTAGCGATGAATACTTCCAGTGAGTAGTTCTACTACTCGTTGTTTATTGATGATGTGATGATGTGATGAGATGCATGATGATGATGATGATGATGTTCTTGTTGTTGTTGTTTGTTGTTGTTGTTTGTTGTTGTTGTTGTTGTTGCTGTTGTTGTTGTTGTTGCAATCTCACAGTCGCACATTGTAGGTAAGCTGAGAGAGGTAACATTTGTTGCGGTGCCAATTCAATGCTTTATCTTGCTTTTTTTGGTTGAAAACTTGATTATTTAAATTGTTTTTTTGTTTTTTTATCACTCAATTAACCTTGGCCAGGGATGAAAATAATTCGATTGCAGTATTGTACAGAGCGTGCGTGAGAGGTTGTTAGATTAAAATGTAAAAAAAAAGATATGTGAACTGCCTGCAATATTTATCCCTGTATTTTGCAATGATTTGTGTTAAATTGATATGAACTCTAAGTTTGTGCCTGGGGATCTCTAACTACGCGTCAGAATTAGTTTGCGCTTGTGAGAATGGGATTTTTGTGAGCAGGAATTTCTCCTGAACGGACACTTGTATCTTTCTCCTTGTCCTGGTAATTTGTTCTGTTAGTCGTTGTGAGTGTTTATAATCGTTATAGCCCAATGCACTCTGTTAAGCCATCTGCAAAAACTATGGGGGTAAACGATATGATACTTCAGTCGTTGTCATATTTACTGACTTACGCTCAAAGTAGCTGATGTATTTGCTACCTTAATAGATAGCGCGAGAGGCAGTAGGGAGGCAAGTGGGGATGGAAGAAAGCAAATGAGAGGTAGGGAGGGAAGCAGTGAAGAGAGAGACAGAGGAGCAGTGTGCTGATTGTCTCTTTGGTGTATTTTTGCAGTAACCACGTGCTGGGCATATCTGACGGTTTTGCACTACCTCGTGTGGTGTGCGGTGGCAGCTAGCTCTGTGTTTGCTCGGGCTCTGGTGTCTCGTCCCCTCTGCCTGTGAGAGGGAATCAAAACATCGGCGGGTAAGAGCTGACATGTTCTCATGATGTACATAATATCATATCTCTGCAGTGGGCCAATATCAGCCATCACATTAGCCAAAGATCCCAAAGTCCGTAGTTGCGCTAAACTTCCTTTGACCAGGAACTTACGTCACCGTAAAATAATAATGTAAAAAAATTATGTCACGTTTTACAAAATGTAAGTGATTCTGTTCACTTTTTAGTTAAATTGCTGCATTATACTTCCTTTTTTGCTATTCCGTTCGATGTGAACAAAACACTCGTGACTCATACATAGCCCATAGCAAGGCATTTAATGTCATGGTAAATATATCAATCGCCAGATTTTTGGATTTTTAACTAGTTGAAAAAAATCTTATCAGGTAAGAATTTGAGGATACATTTAGTGCCATTAGTACTTACTTTTCATGTAAAAAAATTGTCACAAATGTTACAAATATACATCATAGAAAATTTGTGACGTAGTCATTTAAGACCGTCTTCATCGGTTGGCATTGGTTTAGTTTACATGGCGCGTTGGTTTTTGTAAATACCCCCATGCACCCAATAGAAAACAACCGTGAAGAGAAGTTTTCATAAGTGAGTAACTGTGTTTATTTATATGATTTACAAAAACCAGAGAGACCGGATCAAGATGGCCTTGCGCAGAAGATGCTTGTTACCACGGACCGCGAAGCGGTTAACAGCGGCCATTCGCGGATGGGGGCAGCGACGCGAGGATGTATATAGCTATAGCTCCCCGCTGCTACGCATTCGCGCGCCGAAGGAGCGCGCGCGGCCAATGCATATAGCGGGCAGCCTAACATCGCGCAGTTTTCGGAACACGTACATCGGCTGGCTACATCGGCTTTGGAGGGGGGCTTTCGATTATGGTTGACACGCGTTTGTACATTCGTCGCCGTCCGTCGTCACCTGCCGTATTTTCGTACCTTATCTGGCGTTCTCCCACTCTCTTTCTCTCTTTCTCACTCCCACAGTCTGTCTCTCTCTCTCTCTCGCTCTCGCTCGTCTGCGCACGGCGTTAATATAAGGATTAATAAGTGTCTTCGGCTCGCGCGCGCTCTCTCGCCGGCGTGTGTACGTGCGGCGCACTCTCCGACTTCGTAGTTTTCCATAGATGAAGGCACAGGCACTTGAAGCGTTTCAATAGAACATAATGCTAACTAAATACACTCGCTGTATTTCATACGATTTTAAAAAAAATACTCATCCAACAGTTCGGTAATGTATTTACTTAGTACAAAATTCTTAATGTTTCTATACTATAGCCGTATAGGCTAGGCCTCTCTGTTTCAACTACGATATTGAAAAAGTTTTGCGCAACGTTAAATGCAGAAAGGTTTTGCCGCAGTTAATTCTTAACATCGTAGACCTTCAGACGCCCGCATGATTCTGCTGTGGGGCACATACGGCGGCGCCACCGGCGGCGGTTCTTTTTGCCAGAGAACGTCTAGTGGGATTCTGAGTCTAAACAAACATCAATCAACGGCTTAGCCAATGAAGTCAGGGGAACCAACATGGCTACGATAATGAAAAGCCGAGTCACGTTTTCGAGTTTAGACTGCGTCACGGACGTTAATTCGGCCAGTCTCTTTCGCTACACTAAACTTTATAGTTAGTGCAGCGTGTCGAACTTCTCCACCGCGGGCAGTCTAAGCCTATTCGCCGTTCCTGGTGTGGAAAAATTCTCTGGAAAATCGCCTGACGAGAGCCTGTCGCGCATAATATGGGACGCCAATATGTACGAGAATAAACTTCAGGGCGTTAAATTCAATAATTGAAAAATCGCTTTTCTAGAGAAAACGTTAAAGCGCCGACCAAAAAATTAGCAATTACGACCATTTTGATTTATTCTCGCCCTACGTGCAGAGTCGAAAGGCTTCTGCAATCGCCGAACTGCTCAATTGACCGATTATCGGCTTTCTGTAGTACCAGAGAGGCTTCGATGTAGTTAGTTCTACATAGAGGGCAGCCGAATTGGATGAAAAGGCGACGCGAGCGGCGCTGTTGCGCTGCGCGTTATATCCGGGCTGCAGATCGTCTAGAAACACTGTTCTTTCTCCAAATCAACTCATCAAATGCGTTTTTCATGTTCACCCCCGTCGTGAATGATCTTTCTGGACTGAGGCAGCTTGCTCAAGAGAACCTTATATTTTATTGTTATAACTGACTGCACGCGGTGCATGATGCTAACTAGATACTCGCTCCTAAACTTCTCGTCAATGTATGTTAAGCTATGAATTTGGAACTACCAATCCTGTTCATGAGTCTGCATGTTACTCACCAGCGCAATTGCAATCTGCCATTGATAACAAAAAGGCTGTTCCAGACACACCAGATTTATTAGACCTTTTTGTTCAAAGATTCTCGTAAACTGTAGCGATGCCTCAATCATGTTGCGAAGAATTTAAAGCTTCTATAGCTCCATCTGCGTCACAAACTAATGTTGATTCTTCTGTTATTGAAACAATCACCAGTGGCAATACTCGTCACAAAATTTGGTCTTATGGTGGGACTCGTTTGATTTTACCAAAAGTTTACTTTACAGTAGATGTCTTTCAGTTCCACTGTTTCCGATACGATAGTTGTGACCGTGAGTATAGAACCTTTTTACCAGCTAAGCTATTAACGCGTCGTTAGGTAAGGATGGCATTAATGAAGGCCACGCTGCTAACAGCCCGTGCTAGAAATTGATATTTTTTAGGCAGTGCTAAATACAAAACGAGCTCTGATTCATGAACCAGGATCTTCGTGAACCCCTACGCTAGCGGCTAATCCTTTGCTAAATAACAACACCGCCCACCTTGCAGCACCCGGACAACGGACTGAGGCAAATAACGCTGTGTATTTGCCGTATGCTTGATCGTAAGAACGAAAGCATGCATAACAGTGTTTGCCCACTGCGCCAACGAAGGCGCATCTTCGCGTATAATATCAAGTACTACTGTCGCGTCTATGAACCCACGTTAAAAAACCCAAATGGTTTATATAACTATTATTATCATTATCGGTACTATTATGTGTTAGTATAATTATCATAGTATAATTATATATGTAAGATGGTATGATATGATGCTGGCGATAGATAGGAATAATCGCGAAATAATAATTATTATTATTATTATAATGAGGCTCAGCCACGTCATTAATTCTTGGATGCACAGTGCTGGCTCTAACCGAGTACATAAACCGCCATAACAGGGTATCCAGCTATTTGCACTGTCAATCTGCAGTGAACTTAATGAGCAAGTACCTGAGAAGTGGTATGAACATACTCCAAGACCAGTTACCAACAGCGGAGATGCTACCATAATTGGGATATTGAGTGCAGACAGATCGTTCGATACCTGCAAACCGCCCTGATATAGCGCTCCACAACAAGAAAGAAAAACGATGCCTGCTCATTGACGTAGCCGTACCAGATGATACTATAACATTATGGTGAAGGAAAGAGACAAACTCACCAAGTACAAAGATTTGGACATCGAGATTAGCAGGATGTGGAGCACTAAGACGAAAGTTGTACCAGTAGTGATTGGAGTCCATGGCTCTATAAAGAATGGTCTTGAGAAGAACCTCAAGGAACTCCCTGGCCACCACACTGCCAAAGAAGTGCAGATAATCGCACTACGAGGAACAGCACATTCTGCCCCAGATCCATGTTCCAGGTTGCGACACTGCCAACCCAGACGCCACCGGCTAATGCCGTGATCCACTTAATAATAATAATAGTAATTACATTTTCTATTCTTGAGGGTCAGCGTGCGCTGCCTGCGTCCGGCTGCGCGGTAGCTGATGTTGTCGTTGCTGCTCTGATATTTGCAGGCAGTCTATTTCACGGCTACGTTCCCCTACGTGGTTCTCACCATCCTGCTCGTGCGTGGCCTCACCCTACCCGGATCCTCGATGGGCATAGAGTACTACCTCACCCCACAGTGGAGCCGACTCACTGAAGCTAAGGTAAGCGTGCCGGTGCTCAGCTTGCTAGCTAGTAGGATGTGACTTACGCGCGGTTACACGTAATGTGCGGGAGTGTGACTGGCAAATGATCGAGGTTTAGGATTCGGACTGAAAATTAAACATCGGTGTTTTGCTTCTTAGGTTTATTTAAACTGTGGATTGTAGGAGGCCGGACCAGGATAGACCCCCCACCCCTGCCGACACACACATCACTATCCCGCCGCAGTATAGACTCCCTCCCCCTATCATGTAGGACAGAAAACTACCCTATCCTGCAGTGCAGACTCCTCTTAGCCTACAGCACAGACTCCCTCCCTCTATCCTGCAGCACAGACTCTCTCCCTCTATCCTGCAGGACAGACCCCTTTCTTATCACGGAGGACAGAATCTCTACCCCTATCCTGCAGGGCACACACTATCTCTATTCTGCAGAATCTCCTCATTTCCTATCAATGCCACAATCACTGCCACTACTGCCTCCACTGATACTAGATCACCGCCACGGGGTCATAGAAGGGTGAGGTCACTCGGTGCTTGTTTTTCCACAGCCCCACTAATCTGTATTTATCCAAGGTCAGTGCCACTGTCCGTCACAACATTTATCCAGCTGCCTGGCAGTTTTCAGCTCTGGTGCTGAAAAGCTGCACAAGGGAAGCCAACTTGTTTTCCACATAGTTGTCACAAGCTCGTTAGTGATGGGAAGCTGCGCGAGTAAATAATCGCCGCTTGTATAAGGGCGGAAGCTGAGGAAGCAGTGACGTAGAGAGGGCATCTTCCCTGCGTGCCTCTCCTTTCTCTCCCTTCCTATTTCTTATCTCTCCCTCTCCATTCTCTCCCTCCCTCTAATTTCTCTTTGCTGCGACCCTCTACTATCGCTCCCTCAACATATCTTTTCACTTGCTTCCCTTCTCCCTCCCCCCTCTCTCTGGCTCTCCTTCCCTTCTTCAATCTTGACACCCTGCCGTGTCTCTCCTTGTGTGCAGTGACCATTGCATGGCGTAATGTCGTTGTCGTAATATTTCAGCTTGCAGTAAGTTCAGTGCAGCGAACTGCACGTTGTTCAATGGAACGATGCTGAAGAACGGAACGTGCGTGACGGAGGATGACGTGGGCAGCGAACTGTACAGGAACCTGTCCATGTCCGCCATCAAACCCAAGATGCCTAGCGATGAATACTTCCAGTGAGTAGTTCTACTACTCGTTGTTTATTGATGATGATGATGATGATGATGATGATGATGATGATGATGATGATGATGTTGTTGTTGTTGTTGTTGTTGTTGTTGTTGTTGTTGTTGTTGTTGTTGCTGTTGTTGTTGTTGTTGCAATCTCAGAGTCGCACATTGTAGGTAAGCTGAGAGAGGTAACATTTGTTGCGGTGCCAAATTCAATGCTTTCTTCTTGCTTTTGGTTGAAAACTTGATTATTTAATTGTTTTTTTGTTTTTTTATCACTCAATTAACCTTGGCCAGGGATAAAATAATTCGATTGGCAGTATTGCTACAGAGCGTGGTGAGAGGTTGTTAGATTAAAATGTAAAAAAAAGATATGTAACTGCCTGCAATATTTATCCTCTGTATTTTGCAATGATTTGTGTTAAATTGTATGAACTCTAAGTTTGTGCCTGGGGATCTCTAACTACGCGTCAGAATTTAGTTTGCGCTTGTGAGGAATGGGATTTTGTGAGCCAGGAATTTCTCCTGAACGGACACTTGTATCTTTCTCTTGGTCCTGGTAATTTGTTCTGTTAGTCGTGGATGTGTTTTATAATACGGTTATAGCCCAGATGCACTCTGTCTAAGCCAATCTGCAAAAACTAGTGGGTAAACGATATGTACATTCAGTCGTTGTCAATTACTGATTACGCTCAAAGTAGCTGATGTATCTTGCTACCTTAATAGATAGCGCGAGAGGAGTAGGGAGGCAAGTGGGGATGGAAGAAAGCAAATGAGAGGTAGGGGAGGGAAGCAGTGAAGAGAGAGACAGAGAGAGCAGTGTGCTGATTGTCTCTTTGGTGTATTTTTGCAGTAACCACGTGCTGGGCATATCTGAGGGTTTGGACTACCTCGGTGGTGTGCGGTGGCAGCTAGCTCTGTGTTTGCTCGGCTCCTGGTGTCTCGTCGCCCTCTGCCTGTGGAAGGGAATCAAAACATCGGGCCGGGTAAGAGCTGACATGTTCTCATGATGTACATAATATCATATCTCTGCAGTGGGCCAATATCAGCCATCACATTAGCCCAAAGATGTCCGTAGTTGCCTAAACTTCCTTTGTCCAAGGAACTTACGTCACCGTAAATAATAAATGTAAAAAAATTATGTCCACGTTTTTACAAAATGTAAGTGATTCTGTTCACTTTTTATGGTAAAATTGCTGCATTATACTTCCTATTTTGCTATTCCGTTCGATGTGAACAAACACTCGTGACTCATACATAGCCCATAGCAAGCATTTAATGTCATGGTAAATATATCAAATCGCCAGATTTTTGGATTTTTAACTAGTTGAAAAAAAATCTTATCAGGTAAGAATTTGAGGATACATTTAGTGCCATTAGTACTTACTTTTCATGTAAAAAAATTGTCACAAAAATGTTACAAATATACATCATAGAAAATTTGTGACGTAGTCAATTTAAGTACCGTCTTCATCGGTTGGCATTGGTTTAGTTTACATGGCGTTGGTTTTGTAAATACCCCCCATGCAACCCCAATAGAAAAACAACCGTGAAGAGAAGTTTTGCCATAAGTTGAGTAACTGTGTTTATTTATATGATTTACAAAAACCAGAGAGACCGGATACAAGATGGCCTTGCGCAGAAGATGCGTTGTTCCACGACCGCCGAAAGCGGTTAAGCCGCGCACTTCCGCGGGACTGGGCGCACGCGACCGCGGGATGTATATAGCTATAGCTCCCGCTGTACGCATTCGCGCGCCGAAGGAAGGCGGTCGCTGCGCGAATGCATATAGCGGGCAGCCTAACATCGCGCAGTTTTCGGAACACGTACATCGGCTCGGCTACATCGGCTTTGGAGGGCGGGGCTTTCCGATTATGGATTGACACGCGTTTGTACATCGTCGCCGTCGTACCGTCACCTGCCGTATTTTCGTACCTTATCTGGCGTTCTCCCACTCTCTTTCTCTCTTTCTCGCACTCCCACAGTCTGTCTCTCTCTCTCTCTCGCTCTCGCTCGCTCTGCCGCACGGGGTTAATAAGGATTAATAAGGGTCTTCGGTCGCGGCGGCTCTCTCGCCGGCGCGTGTACGTGACGGCGCAACTCTCCGACCTTCGTAGTTTTCCATAGACTGAAGGCACAGGCACTTGAAGCGTTTCAATAGAGATATAATGCTAACTAAATACACTCGCTGTATTTCATACGATTTTAAAAGAAATACTCATCCAACAGTGGTAAATGTATTTACTTAGTACAAAATTCTTTAATGTTTTCTATACTATAGCCGTTATAGGGCTAGGCCTACTCTGTTTCACCTACGGATATTGAAAAAGTTTTGCGCAACGTTAAATGCAGAAAGGTTTTGCGCAGTTAATTCTTAACATTCGTAGACCTTCAGACGCCGCACTGATTCTGCTGTGGGAGCACATACGGCGGACGCCACCGGCGGCCGGTTCTTTTTGCCAGAGAACGTTAGTGGGAATTTCTGAGTCTAAACAAACATCAATCAACGGGCTTAGCCAATGAAGTCAGGGGAACCAACATGGCTACGATAATGAAAAGCCGACGTCACGTTTCGAGTTAGACTGGTACGGACGTTAATTCGGCCAAGTCTCTTTCGCCTACACTAAACTTATAGTTAGTGCAGCGTGTCGAACTCTCCACCGCGGGGCAGTCTAAGCCTATTCGCCGTTCCTGGTGTGGAAAATTCTCTGGAAAATCCCTCGAAGAGAGCCTCGTCGCGCCATCTATGGGACGCCATATGTACGAGAATAACTTCAGGGCCGTTAAATTCAATAAATTGAAAATCGCTTTTCTAGAGGGAAAACGTAAAAGCGCCGACCAAAAAAATTAGCAATTACGACCATTGGATTTATTCTCGCCCTACGTGCAGAGTCGAAAGGCTTCTGCAATCGCCAGAACTGCTCAATTGACCGATTATCGCGCTTTCTGTAGTACCCAGGGGCTTCGAGTAGTTAGTTCTACATAGAGGGCAGCGAATTGGATGAAAAGGCGCGCGAGCGGCGCTGTTTGCGCTTCGCGCGTATATCCGGGCTGCAGATCGTCTAGAAACACTGTTCTTTCTCCCAAATCAATTCATCAAATGCGTTTTTCATGTTCACCCCCGTCGTGATGATCTTTCTGGACTGAGGCAGCTTGCTCAAGAGAACCTTATCTTTTATCTGTTATAAACTGACTGCACGCGGTGCATGATGCTACTAAGATTACTGCGCTCCTAAACTGCTCGTCAAATGCTATTTACATGTTAATTTGCAACTACCAATCCTGTTCATGTGAGTCCTGCATGCTTACTTCACAGCGGCCAATTCAATCTGCCATTGATAACAAAAAGGCTGCTTCCAGACACACAAGATTTATAGACCTATATTTGTTCAAAAGAATCATCTGTAAAACCTGTAGCATGCTCAATATGTTGAGAAGAATTAAGCTCTTATAGCTGCCATCTGCTGTCACAAACTAATGTGTGATTCCTTCTGTTATTGAAACAATCACGTGCGCAATACTCGTCACAAAATTTGGCTCTTTGTGGTGGACTCGTTTGATTTTACCAAAAGTTTCTAACAGATAGATGTCTTCAGTTTCCACTGTTTCCGATACGATAGGGTGTACCGTGGTAAATAGACCTTTTTACCAGCTAGCTATAGTAACGCGGTTAGAAGGATGGCATTAATGAAGGCCACGTGCTAACAGCCCGTGTAGAAATTGATATTTTTTAGTGCAGTGCTAATACAAACGAGCCTTGATCATGAACCAGGATCTTGTGAACCCCCTAGTGCGGCTAATCACTTTGCTAAATAAACAACACCGCCACCTCGCAGCACCCGGAAGCAACGGACTGGCAAATAACGGCTGTTGATTTGCCGTGTGCTTGATCGTAAGAACGAAGCATGATAACAGTGTTGTGCCACGCGCACCAGAAGGCGCATTTCGTAATCAATTAGTACTGCTTCCGTTATGAACCCACTTAAAAAACCCAATGGTTATAACTATTATTATCATTATCGGTACTATTGCTGTTAGTATAATTATCATTATAATTATCATATGTAAGATGGGCATGATGATGATGATGCGATGATAGTAATAATAGCAGAAATAAAATAATAATTATTATATTATTATTATAATGAGGCTCAGCCACGTCATTAATTCTTGGATGCCACAGTGCTGGCCTAACCGAGTACATAAAACCGCCATAACAGGCGTATCAGCTATTTGCACTGTCAATCTGCAGTGAACTTAATGAGCAAGTACCTGAAAGTGGTATGAACATACTCCAAGACCAGTTACCAACAGCGGAGATGCTACCATAATTGGGATATTGAGTGCAGACAGATCGTTCGATACCTGCAAAACCGCCCTGCATATAGCCGCTCCACAACAGAAAGAAACGATGCCTGCTTATTTGACGTAGCCGTACCAGTATGATACTATAACATTATGGTGAAGGAAAGAGACAACTCACCAAGTACAAAGATTTGGACATCGAGATTACGCAGGATGCTGAGCACTAAGACGAAAGTTGTACCAGTGAGTGATTGGAGTCCATGGCTCTATAAAGAATTGCGTCTTGAGAAGAACCTCAGGAACTCCCTGGCCACCACACTGCCAAAGAAGTGCAGATAATCGCCACTACGAGGAACAGCACATTCTGCCCCAGATCCAATGTCCAGGTTGCGACACTTGCCAACCCAGACGCCACGGCTAATGCGCGATGATCCACTTAATAATAAATAATAGTAATTACATTTTCTATTCTTGAGGGTCAGCGGCCGCTGCCTGCGTCCGCCGCTGCGCGGTAGCTGATGTTGTCGTTGCTGCTCTGCATATTTGCAGGCAGTCTATTTTCACGGCTACGTTCCCCTACGTGCGTTCTCACCATCCTGTCTTCGTGCGTGGCCTCACCCTACCCGGATCCTCGATGGCGCATAGAGTACTACCTCACCCCACAGTGGCAGCCGACTCACTGAAGCTAAGGTAAGGCGTGCCGGTGCTCGGCTTGCTAGCTAGTAGGATGTGACTTACGCCGCGCGTTACACGTAATGTGCGGGAGTGTGGACTGGCAAATGATCGAGGTTTAGGATTCGGACTGAAAATTAAACATCGCGGAGTTTTGCTTCTTAGGTTTATTTAAACTGTGGATTGTTAGGAGGCCCGCGACCCAGGATAGACCCCCCACACCGCTGCCGACACACACATCCACTATCCCGCCGCAGTATAGACTCCTCCCCTCTATCATCACACACTATCCTCTATTCTGCAGAATCTCCTCATTTCCTATCAATGCCACAATCACTGCCACTACTGCCTCCACTGATACTAGATCACCGCCACGGGGGTCAATAGAAGTGAGGTCACTCGGTGCTTGTTTTTCCACAGCCCCACTAATCTGTATTTATCCAAGGTCAGTGCCACTGTCCGTCACAACATTTATCCAGCTGCCTGGCAGTTTTCAGCTCTGGTGCTGAAAAGGCTGCCACAAGGGAAGCCAACTTGTTTTTCCACATAGTTGTCACAAGCTCGTTAGTGATGGGAAGCTGCCGCAGTAAATAATCGCCGCTTGTATAAGGGCGGAAGCTGAGGAAGCAGTGACGTAGAGAGGGCCCACGGAAACTGAGGAAGCAATGGCGTTGAGAGGGCTTGCGAAAGCTGAGAAAGCAGTGACGTAGAGAGGGCTTGCAGAAGCTGAGAAAGCAGTGACGTAGAGAGGGCTTGTGGAAGCTGAGAAAGCAGTGACGTAGAGAGGGCTTGCGAAAGCTGAGAAAGCAGTGACGTAGAGAGGGCTTGCAGAAGCTGAGAAAGCAGTGACGTAGAGAGGGCTTGTGGAAGCTGAGAAAGCAGTGACGTAGAGAGGGCTTGTGGAAGCTGAGAAAGCAGTGACGTAGAGAGGGCTTGTGGAAGCTGAGAAAGCAGTGACGTAGAGAGGGCTTGTGGAAGCTGAGAGAAAAGCAGTGACGTACGAGAGGGCTTGTGGAAGCTGAGAAAGCGATGACGAGAGAGCGCTTTGCGAAACTGAGCAAAGCAGTGACGTAGAGAGGCTTGCAGAAGCTGAGAAAGCAGTGACGTAGAGAGGCTTGTGGAAGCTAGAGAAAGCAGTGACGTAGAGAGGCTTGTGGAAGCTGAGAAAGCAGTGCACGTAGAGAGGGCTTGTGGAAGCTGAGAAACCAGCTTGGACGGTAGAGAGGCTTGTGGAAGCTGAGAAAAGCAGTGACGTAGAGAGGGCTCTTGTGGAAGCTGAGGAAGCAATGGCGTAGAGAGGGCTTGCGAAAGCTGAGAAAGCAGTGACGTAGAGAGGGCTTGCAGAAGCTGAGAAAGCAGTGACGTAGAGAGGGCTTGTGGAAGCTGAGAAAGCAGTGACGTAGAGAGGGCTTGCGAAAGCTGAGAAAGCAGTGACGTAGAAGGGCTCAAGAAGCCTGAGAACCAGTGACGTAGAGAGGGCTTGTGGAAGCTGAGAAAGCAGTGACGTAGAGAGGGCTTGTGGAAGCTGAGAAAGCAGTGACGTAGAGAGAGGCTTGTGGGAAGCTGAGAAAGCAGTGACGTAGAGAGGGCTTGTGGAAGCTGGAGAAAGGCAGTGACGTAGAGAGGGCTTGTGGAAGCTTGAGAAAGCCGTGACGTAGAGAGGGCTTGTGGAAAGCTGAGAAAGCAGTGACGCTAGAGAGGGCTTGTGGAAGCTGAGAAAGCACGTGACGTAGCAGCAGGGCTTGTGGAAGCTGAGAAAGCAGTGACGTAGAGAGGGCTTGCGAAAGCTGAGAAAGCAGTGACGTAGAGAGGGCTTGGGGAAGCTGATGAACCAGTGATGTAGAGAGGACTTGCAGAAGCTGAGAAAGCAGTGAGGTAGAGAGGGCTTGCGGAAGCTGAGAAAGCAGTGACGTAGAGAGGGCTTGTGGAACCTGAGGAACCAGTCGCGTAGAGAGGGTTTGTGGAAGCTGAGAAAGCAGTGAATAGGGCTCACGGAAGCTGGGGGCTCACGTGTGTGTGACGTAGTGATGGCTTCATGACTTCGTGGCTTAAGAGCCAGCAGGTTTCTAGGTCGTGTTGATTGTGTGTTTATCCCACGCCGGGAGCATGTTTACGGCAGAATAAATAACCGGTACTCTCCTACATCTCATTTGCTCTCTCCCCATCTTTTTTTATCTCCCTCCCTCCCCCTCTCTCTCATTTCTTTCTCGCTCATCTCTCTCGTGTCTGTCTTTCTGTTTCTCTCTAATATATATATTCCTCTCTCCCTCTCACTCTCTCCTCCGCCCTTCTCTCTCCCCTAGCCTAATCTGTGTTAACTTCCTGCTGTCTCTCTCTCTCTCTCTCTCTTAAGTTTGAATTTGTGGGTAGATGGAAGTGTATCCGTGTCGTGTGTAAAGGTTGATAGTGGTCTGGCCAGTGAAACGTGACTGCTGGTGAGACGAAAAATCACTGTAACCTTGCAAGCAAAATACCACCAATTCCGTAACCCATTTCCACTTCTCCTAATCGCTGTCTTGATTCTAGGCATGTGTACATCCTGGTCCAACTTGTGTAGCTGGCCTTTGTCGGCACAACCCCACAACAAGAATTTCTAACCACGGCAATTCGCACAATCCTTCATTATGGATTCACGTTGCAGTGCCGTGAGATCCCATTCTAGCTCTGTGGAGTTAGCTCTGTCCATTGCTCATTGTTTCTAAATTAAGTTTTGAGAATCTGAAGTTGTTTTTAAGATGAAACAGTTACGGGCTTGGGTGCAGGGGCCCTAGCTACGCAAATCGATTCCAGCCAAGTGATCTAGAGGATTCAAGATGCACGTAATAATCTATTAATTGAATTTGTATCTGTTGGATCTATTTGCACTTCTAACGATGAATCATCTTGCAGGCCGCTTACGTCTCGACCGACGGTGGGTGACTCAGCGTTGCATTGGCGTATCTCTAACCTCTGTCTAGTAATTAACCGCAGTTGCCAGTGCCTCGCACAGCTGATCGATGGAATCCGCAGTCACGCTGTCTGTCACGCCACCTACTGGGCAGCGTGTTGACGAGGAGATCGGAGGTCGGGAGCTTGGTGTTGCCCACGTCACAGTGGTCACTGACAGGCAGTGTTTTTATTTTTGTCTGTCCAGGTGTGGGGTGACGCAGCAGTTCAGATTTTCTTCTCACTGTCCCCGTGTTGGGGAGGCCTTATAACTCTGGCGTCCTACAACAAGTTTCACAACAATTGCTATCGGTACGTATAGTTGCCAGGTGAGCCACAGACACGCGAGCGCGCGGACTAACATGACGACCACGTCGTCCACCAGGTGGCACCCCTAGTCACACACGACCTCCAGAAGCCACTTGTGCACTGGTATCGCCACTCACCCACCGCACCCAGTGACGCTAGAAGGCGTCATGAGCAGTTTGCTGGTTAGCCGTCGGCACGTGGCGGTGGCGGTGGTGGTGCTGGCACGGGGGCGGGGGCCAGAGTATCGCCATGGCAACCACTGATCGACGGTTTGCGTGTTTGCAGTGATGCACTGGTGGTGGCGCTGGCCAACTGTCTGACGAGCTTCTACGCCGGATTTGTCATCTTCTGCATTATCGGCTTCATGGCCAATCAGCTGGGAGTAGCCGTCGAACACGTCGCAGATAAAGGTAACCATGGAGACGATGTCGTTGATGTACGAACAACAACGTATTTGTTATTGGTGTAAATCGGATCGGTTTAATTATTTGAGTATAATTGTATCTATTGTATTTAAAGATTAATTTATTAATAATGCGTTGGTATGTTTTATAATCTTCTATAACATCTATATGTGTATGCGTATATTATATTATCAGGAGTAGATTATTATCTCTATTATCCACTCCTGATATTATTGTATATATATATATATTATTTATAAAAGAAATGAGTTTGAAAGAGAGCTGTTGCTATAAGCGACATAACTAAAATTATTTTACAAAGTTCACGGTATGGGTGGTTAGATGTCAGTGCATTCAGACCAGCTGGCAAACACTGCTATCATGTTGATAAAGATAATGTTTCAATATTTCGTTTTTACACAGTACAGTGACAGCATTTTTTATAAAGGCTTATCAAGCTCTGGACCGCAGGCTTGGCTGTATGACATACATAGCATCTGGTTGGGCGTAGTGTGTAGTATACAGCATTATATTCAGATCAACCTTGTTTTTCTTAACATTGGCATCTTCGTCACGCATGTTGTAATTTTGAAATTACAACTCGTAATAGTTTTGCAGCTTCATCACAGGTGATGTCTATGATGGTCGTGCCATACTAGCGTGTGCGTGCGTGCGTGCGTGCGTGCGTGCGTGTCGACGTACGTACATATACACGTGCTGCGTGCTCGCTGCCACGCGCGTTTATGCGTTGTGCATGTGCAAATTATTTTGTCACGGATGTCGCGGTTGCAGGCGCAGGATTGGCCTTCATCGCATACCCCGAGGCAGTGGCTCAGCTGCCCATGTCTCAGATCTGGTCCATCCTGTTCTTCTCCATGCTGGTGACCCTCGGCATGGGCACGCAGGTACCTCGACGCACGCGCGCGTTTTTTCTTGATTCCTACCTACCAGGTGGTGCCAACGATGTCACAGGCACGCATGAGTTGTGGCGGTGATGGTTGTCATCTATAGGAAGGCACTCTAGGACGACGGCGTTACTATAGTGAGACGTATGTTAGAGAGCACTAGCTATGTGTAGTCTCCGTGAGCCATCGTCGTCGTCGTCGTCGATGTCCATAATTCACGTAGTAGCTAGTCGTCACTCCAGCAGTCGTTTGCAGTATTAAAAACCCCACGTTCTGTTTTCTTTATATATTGCATGCGACGGTAGTTAGGCATCTGTGCGCGGGTGTGTGCATATATATATATATATCAGGAGTTAATAAAGACAATAATTGTTCTTTATTACTTGAATAATTATATATATAATAATATATATATATTAACTATATATATATAGATACGAAGTGATGACGTACGTTGGATGACAACGGAACTAACTGTTCTACCACAATCCATATGCTCTTACCATTAATGCGTGTCCCTGTTTTGTCCGATGTTACATCACTGAGAGTGCATTATTGAGTTTATAGATCCCAAGGATGGAAGTGAAAAGCAAAGAAAGAAAAGAAAAAAATAAAAAAAAAATTTTAACAATTTTTTTTTTTAAAATTCATTAAATATTGTAAGATCGACTTGCTACCGATGCTTTACCGCTGTCTGCAGCGCACACACTCGTGTTTTACGTACGCACAACATTTTCACGCAGTATTATGTTATGGAGCCAGTGGCTTGTGTAGAACCAGCTCGTACGTTGTCTTGCCAACGTGACGTCACACTTCGGTACTATATACCATATACTATATATACCATATACTATATACCATATACTATATACAGTGGAACCCCGATTTTACGCGAATTCGGATATAACGCGATGAGTCGTTGGACCCCCTTTTTTGCTCTTATATAGCCCCCGTATATATAACCCCGCCTTTTTTGCTATGACATTTTATGGACCCCAACCATTGCGTTATAACGGGGCTACACAGTACCATATACCATATACTATATACTATATATACTATACTATTTCATGACGTGAGTGACATATTTATCACAAGGTACGCATCTACCCGAAAGGTTGTCCGTGAAAAAATTTTCATTTTCAATTATTGTAATTGTTATCATTATTAGCATTATCTATCATCATCATTATTTCTTAGTTAGCCAATGTGGCATTGACTTTGTTTGTATTGCCCTTTGTTATGAATGTGCCTGTGTTTGTAAGAAATGGCCCATGCATCATCACAAGCTACTCAGTTGAGGGTAAAAATGCTGGATTAAATGCGAGGACCCTGAGCTGATTACCAGACATACGTGCTATCAGGAGTAGGTTATAGCAATGTTGTATACAATTTAATTATCATAATGTATTTCTGATACAGTTGTGATGGTATAGAATGGTATTTTGTCCTGTGATATCTAACCTAAAAGTTACATATAGATAGGTTCCAGTGGTCTGTTGTTAGAAACGTCATGAATAATTACCAATATCGTGTGTCTAGTATGGTGTGTACTTTGTGCATGAAGTATCGCGCAAAAGTGATGAAATCTCAGACTTACAACGGTGGCAACTATTTATGCTGTTTTTAACAAGGTCCACTGGTTGCAATGCAGGTATTGCCGTGAGTGTTACTGTTTGTTGACCTTTTGTTTTCGTGTTGTTGTTAATTTTGTGCACATCACAGTTGAACCAGCGACGTCACATCACGGCGATCTCCATGTCCCCTTTGCACCGGACCACCACCTCGTCACTTCGCACGCTATAGCACGCGATGGCTTCATTTTAGTTTTCATGCCGTGTTTTTGCCCTGTTGATTATAGGGGCTGGACTTGCGTTTATCGCGTACCCAGAAGCACTGACACGGTTGCCTATATCGGCTCTGTGGTCCATCCTCTTCTTTTCCATGATCCTCACCCTGGGCATGGGATCACAGGTTGGTTGTGCCTACACACCCTGCACTTCGCTAGACGTGAATAACCGCGGGTGGTGCGCCATGTGTAACGAATAACGCAGCATGGGATGGGCGTGTGATCGTGTGTCGCTTAATGTTAATAACCACGGGTGGCGCCCCCTATGGTAGCGAATAATGCAGCACTAGAAGGACGCTGTAGTGCAGGAAGGAACCCCGATAGATAGATGAGTCGAGATATAGCGGTAGTGTATGTAACATCAAGGACGCTGTAGTGCAGGAAGAAAGGACGCTGTAGTGCAGGAAGGAACCCCGATAGATAGATGAGTCGAGATATAGCGGTAGTGTATGTAACATCAAGGACGCTGTAGTGCAGGAAGGAACCCCGATAGATAGATGAGTCGGGATATAGCGGTAGTGTATGTAACATCAAGGTCTAGGGTCACTACATAGCAGTTGGTAATAGAATATTATTAGTAGTAGCTGGCAATAATAGATGGATCAAGATGGTTGGGGACACTACTACATGGCGAGGGCTAGGCTGAGCTTTAGATAATGGAGATTAGGAACACATAGGAGCAAGTAGGATTAATAGCTAGTATAAAAGCATGATGAAGGGGCAGAGTAACGTATACTGTGGAGGATGACTGAGGTAAGGGTTGGGGCTTCTCTATACGGTGATGGGTTACGGTAGAATGATACCCGGAGGATAGCTGAGTGATTATGTGAAAAGTGTTACTCATCTGGGAAACGATGTTATTAGTTGGAATTTCGGTGAGGGTTGTATGTTCACGGGCGCAATGTCACGGCGATTCGCGCGTACCTTACTTCCTGATTGCTGCTGTTCATGCACATGCTCTCCTTACAGGTGTGAGCTTCCGTATCTAGATTTAGTTTAATTCTGTTTGGTTTGCAGTGATTGAAGTGCTATCCTTTATGTCACTATATGCATGCATGTACATATATGTCACGTGGAGACTCGGTGTTGTTGGATGAACCTGGACGGAGGTGTGACATTATAGAACACATTATCTTTCGTTCAGCCTTAGTTCTCATTCTCAGTCTTCACTTGATTTGCTGTAGAGTTTCTTCTAAACCTCCGGTGTCTGCCACTAATAGTTTCGTTTGCATATGTGCGTGCGTGCATACACGTGTGGGTGATTGCGTGCGTGGGTGTGGGTGTGTGTGTACATGCGTGCGTGGGTGTGGGTGGGTGTGTACATGCGTGCGTGGGTGTGGGTGTGGGTGTACATGCGTGCGTGGGTGTGGGTGTGTGTGTACATGCGTGCGTGGGTGTGGGTGTGTGTGTGTGTGCATGCGTGCGTGGGTGTGGGTACTGCGTGCGTGTGTGGTTGTTGTGTACATGCTGAGTGGTGTGCGTGGTGTGTACATGCGCTGGATGTGGGTTACATGCGTGCGTGTGTGTGTGTGTGTGTACATGCGTTGCGTGGGAGTGTGGGTGTACATGCTGCTGAACATGACGTTGTGGTGCTGGTGTGTGGTCCCATGCCGTGTGTGGTGTGGGTTGTGTGTCATGCGTGCGTGGGTGTGGGTGTGTGTGTAACAATGCCTTGGCGTGATG